GAGACATTCTTGCAAAGGCTTTTCAAGTGGACAAGAAAGTTGTTCGTCAAATTCAATCAAAATTCTAGACCCTCACGTAATCTAATGTCGGTTTTGTTAACTTATAATCTTCAATTTCTTAATACTGGTTCATTATTGTTATATTTAAAATGAATAAAAGAAATTTACATTATATTCAGTGTCATTATTAAACTACTGCTGATCATATGTAAGATCCAAACTCAAAACAATGGTATAGTTAATCAAGCATCCAATGATCCAACATTAGAAATGCATAGTTCTAAATATCCTTTGATATCTCCATCAACGCTAAACCAACTTAACATTTGTATCAAACATAAAAATTAAATTGCTATCAATTACAATGATTGATTGATAGTATCGTATCAAATACGCAAACTTGGTTAATACCTATTATTGGATGTCATGTACCACGATGCTACCATGGTACCGACTTATTTAATTATGAGTAAACCACCAATTTAGTCCCTATAATTTGTTGTTTGTAACATTTTTCGTCCTTACCGTTTCGAAGTTATAGATTCGCCATTGTGGTATGGAAAATGCATGTGTACATTAAGTTTGTCGTAACAAAATGCATGGAAATAAAAGAACTTGTTTGGTTTTATATTAAATATAACAGTTCTATTATCTTAGAAGATCAAATTTTCATTCATATTAAATTGGGGGAATCAAAATTCAATTTCTATCATTTTGATTTTTATTCTTATTTTCATTTTCATTTTCATTCTTAGCTTAAACCAAACAACCCCTTAAAAAAAACTATTTTCGAAAAAAAAACCCACCACTTGTAATAACAAATGGAACCTTGTGAGGTTAGCTCAACTGACAATAAAACTTGGTCCTTTAGGGATATTCCTAGAGGTTGCCGGTTTGAGTCCTGCAAGACACTGAGGATTTTCCTGGTTGTTTTCCAAGCCTTTAAAATTAATCGAGATGCACACAAACCGACTTAAACACACACGTTAAAAAAAGTATACGGAACACAAATATTGATAAAAAAATTCTATCATGGGTTAAATGGGTCGAGTTCACATACAATACACTTTTTGTCCAATTGCTTTTTAATATTACTAACATATTAAAATCTCATTAAATAAT